GTTTGGCATCAATTTAAGCGTTTCATGCAATAACGTCCCAAAAAAAAAAAAAAGTGTAACGTTTCTACGGGCATTCTTATTGGGCCGAATATATGTTAAAGCCCATTAAGAAAGGCTTCGTTAAGTCGTTTCTTCTCGGAACTTACACGCCGGAAATAACTTTCCGATTACGATTTTGAGGAAGAAGCGAGAGAGAAGATGGAAGATTCACGTGATTGGTTTCGTGAAGGTGAATTCGGAAATCGAAGCGAAGATTCAGGTGACGAGAGAGATCGAATCAGAGATCGGAAAGTGTTCAGAGATTGAATCGTCTCTGTTTATCAAAGAATCTGAGCTTACGAGATCGTTCCTTACTTCTCAGTTCGAAATCATCTCCGTCACAGGTTCACTTCATTCAAATTTCTCCAAGAATTTTTAGTTTCTGAATCATTGGAATTTGAAATGCACATGCATGTCTTGATCAGTGATTGACTTCACTATGTTTTGTTTCCTTTAAGAATTTTGAGTTTCTGAATCTTCTTAACTTAAATCATTGAAATGCACATACATGTCTTGATCAGTAATATGTTTGTTTCCTTAAAGATGATTCAAGAAACTCTCTGAAGTTATTGGAGGAAGAGATTTGTCAGCTGAGAAATGAACACAGTGAGCTACTTAGAAAGCTACGGAGAAGCGGTAAATATACTCGATTCTTTGGCTAATTTGATCAGAATTTGTGACAAAAGCTTAAGAATTGGTATGGAATTTCTATATAGGGAAAATATACTCGATTCTCGGGCTAATTGATCAGCATCTGTGACAAAAACTTGAGAATTGGTATGGAATTTCTATACAGGGAAGGGTTTGTGAAGATGTGTTTTGAGTTCCAGAGGGAGATTGGTGTTGATGAAGACAGTGAACTAAGGAGTATATTATCGGAGAGAGATTGGAGAACGAAGTTCGAATGTTGGAGCAGAAGAACATAGATGTGAAGAACTCGATTTTGGCTTACATGGAAGATGAAATGAAGATTCTTTTGTCTGATTAGTTTCTGGAATGATGAAAGTTTAGCCATTGGATTTGGAATGTAAGTACTATTACTCTCTCTTGATCTTTAACCAAGAAAGGAGAAGAAAACAATTTTGCTCTTATGGACCGATATATCAAAGAAAGTGAATAATTTTATTTTAGATGCTCGGTTACAAGTTGTTTAACATATCAAATATTCCCGGGACCCCCAAAATGTATCATATGTTTGGTCTTAAATTGTGAATATATATCTTCTATCACTTTATAACCACGGGTGTTATCCGAAAATGTCTCTGTATTCTTTACCCAATCATCAGTCTTAAAATTTTCGTCGACTGTAGTTATATAAGATATATAAGCATCGTAAAGGGGGTGTTTAATTGGAAATACACCGTTTCCCATTTGAGGACTCGACATAAATGCACTATATACTTCTCCTTCCCCCACTCAATTTTGTTGGCAACGCTTTGTTTAAATTTATTTGCTGGCCAAAATCCAATTGCTATACCTTGAAACATGAACCACCAGTTCCCATTTCCCTTGTCCTTCGATCAATAGTCACGTAAAAAAAACATATTACTATATTATTATGAAACAGATTAAATCATATATATTTGTTGGAAAACAAAAACCAAGGAACTTCCAAAATAGATAAAAAATTGTTGAATTTCTTATGCTTACGTGTCTAATTTATTAGATATATTCTTTTATTTTTTTATTATTTTCTATTTGATATAGATTCTATAGTTCATTTTGTTAGATAACGATTTGTGAAGCCTAACATATAGATTAAAAAGTATATCAATCTTATAAATTAGAAAAGAAGAAAGAAATTAATAACTAACAAACCTTATGTAAGGCATATCTACTTATGAAAGTGTTTGAACCACGAATACCAGGAGGAGCGAGAACATGACCAAGGGGAATATCTGAACGAACGGTTATGATCCCACCTGAACACATGTTATTATAACATTGATTTTCACCTGCCTGTATTATTTTATACATTGTTATGTTATGTGTAGCGTACGAACTTAAAATATTATGATGGGGTGGGGGGTAATTAGTACATATATTAGACATACTTATATTAATAATAAACTTACTTTCGTATATACAAAAAGTCAAGTTTGGGTGTCAGAATATAACTTTGGATTAACCTGAAATGTAAACATATTGAAGGCAACAATATTAAACAATTATAAAATTGTCTATTTTATCAAGATCTGTTTTTGATATTATTTTGGTCATATCTCAAATCA